TTTTGAAACTTTTTTAACTAATAAAAAAATGAAAAGTGGGGCGTGCAAAATTATTCGGCCCCCTTGCGTTAATACTTTGTAGAGCCACCTTTTGCTGCGATTACAGCTGCAAGTCGCTTGGGGTATGTCTCTATCAGTTTTGCACATCGAGAGAGTCAGAAAGTAAAGCATAAACTTTAAAAGGGTAACATGATTTTTGTATTTTCTGATTACATACATTTACAGATATTTACCCACCTAAAGGGCAGTTTGTTCAGCCTGCTCTTCCATGCCTTCATACACATGTATTGTGTATGCCATGCTATCATTTTAGGTTGAAGTTCTTTTGTCTTTTTATGAATAATTAAAAAAATAAGAAATAATATGTTAATTACTGAACGGAGCTGTTTGCGGTACTGCTCACTGTATACTTGAAAATTGAAAATTAGTCATTAATCAGCACAATTTGGAATGTTTTATATTTAAATCTTTTTCTTCAGAGTGGAGGCTGTTTATCCCCGCATTGCAGAATTAAATCCTTATGTTCAGGTCAATACATCAAATGCTACTCTGGATGAAACCACTGATTTGTCATTCTTGAAACAATTTCAGGTGAGTTAGTGTTTTAAAGCTTTTGTTGAGGACCAACATTTTATCTTAATTTGTGTCTTGTGATTCTTAAGTTTAAAAGGATTACACCAAAACATTAACCCCTACTGGTTCCACTTAGACCTCTTCCAGCAGCAACCTAATTTCTGAGGAGGTCTGCCATCCAAGTACTTATCAGGCTCACATTTGCTTAGCTTCAGTGGGTTGTCAGTTGTGAGTTGCAGGGTGTTATGGCTGCTGGCTTATTCTGTTCTTCTGTCAGAGTGCAGACATGGTCCAATAATTATATTCAAATATAATACAATATTATCAAGATCATATTTTACAGTACATTGTAATTTAAGCATGTAGAGCTCCATTTTCTCTTTGATATAGGAAACCATAAATGTACTATATTTTTTTTTCTTGATACTCATCAGTTATCCCTCACAGCTGAGGATGTTTCGATACCTTTGGGCTTCAATGTGCTGGACTCCTTCCCAGATATTTTTCCTCCAGTAGTTAAATACAATATGGAGTTGATATGATCTATTTCTTCATGCTTGCTTTAGCAAAATCATTTAAATGCTGCTTCTGGTATGATTTCCTTGGGTACGATTGGCTAAAATCTTCCACAAAAAGTGTTGGTAAAATACCTCCAGTCCTTTTATGGGTATCCTGTGTAGTGAATTGGTGATTAATAAATTATCAGAAAGTGAATTTTTGAAGTAGAGCTCAATACATTGAAATGAAGCAAACGCGTACCTTTAACGATAGAAATGCTATGTATGTTTTAATTGTATTGAGTACAAAATGAAAAGTAGATAACAATTAACAATGTTAAGGTTAAGGTGGCTATGTGATATTCATTATAGTCTAGATATTGCAGCAACACATAATGCTTTGGTTAAGCATAGACAGAATAATAAAATCACCTGGCACCTGATTTTTCACTGGGCTGTAGGACTTTTTGAGACTGCTGTCATGGTTGGTAGCTACTGTAAGGAATACAGGGGATCCCCACTTTACATATCTTCTCTCACTTTATGTCCAGTGGATGTAAACTCCACCTTAAAAACAGTCCAGACTGTAAAATATGACAAATGATGTTTAGTAAAATAATGACAATATCTTTTTCTATTAAAATTATCATAGATAATTCCTGTATTATTTATAACGGCATGCGTTATAAAAAACGTTTATATAAATTTTACGTCTTTTCTATGCCCGACTTTACATCCTTTGAATGCAAAGCGTCCTAAGACATTCAGAGATATGTTGAGAAGCACAAGGAAACTGCATTGCAAGATAAGTTAAAATATGAGTAATTTTACTCTATTCAGTATTAATTCCCTTATTTATCATATGTACAGTATTTAAGGTAGTGTTATACTGTACATAAAAGTTGAATTTAAAAGTATTTTGCAGTTTGATGGTTTCATCTTCTGTATACATGTATGTGATACACTGTTAAAATTACAACTTTAAATTTTAAGTTTAATGTTTTAATGAGTTTAATATTTGAAAATGTTGTTCATTACTCTCCTTTTTTCACACATACGTTTTCTGTCTCGCATACACAAAATGTGTTTCACAAACTCTCTCATTCATTGTTCATTTTCAAATTCTAAATGTATTGAACCCAGGCCCTCATTGCTGTGAGGCAACAATGCTAAGGTTAAATTAATTTAAGTGCTCAACATAATAGGTTATTACAGTAATAATTCTGTTTACACACTGAAAATGTGAATGTACCCTACTGTAAACCTACATCATCATGTTCAGGTCCCTATTACTGTTAAAATACAATGATTCTCATTCAGAAATATGTTAAACTTGATGTCCTTCTGGTGCCAATTAATCCCTATTTCCTTGATTTCTAATAGAAAGTCTCTGCTCAATGTCCCATTCTTACAGTCCCCATTAAGTACATTTAATGGGAATGTATTGTGATATTCATACCAATGGTTACATGTGTTGTATCACTGATCAGGTGAATAGTTTTGCTTGAGAAATACATTGAAGAAAGGTTTTTACAGGAAGCTTATGACTTTTATGTACATGGGCCCTGGGTCCAGTTTTGTCTCTATGGAGACTGTTTAAACTTCAAAGGAGATTTTTTAGAGGACAAGGTGGTGCTCTTTATAAGATGAATAGTGTTCAATGTAGTCAAAAGAAAAGCCAAAGAGCAAAGTTCACAGTGGATTGGTAGATTTTAATGAAGGATATCACATAGCTGAGTGGACTTTCAGGTTGAAAGTTATTGAGATATCCATGTAAGTGTTATTTTCCTTTGTGACTATCTGGTGTGGATCCATTGGGTTTATGATCTTGGTGCCTTCTGGTGGACCGTATTCCAGGCCTTGCATTATAAATAGGTTTCCTAAATGTTTACTTTTCCTTTGTACTGATACCAGTTGTTTCTGTTATTTTAGTGCCTGCGATCCCAGAAAAATTCCTCCTATCAACCCTATCTATAGTATGGTAATTAAAATGTACCCTCATGGTTTTAGGCATCTTCCTTCTACACCCTGCTCACAGCACCAAATTGTAGTGGAGAAGATAACACAGGCTTTATTTTGAGGAGTTACTACCCAGCAAACTGATTCAAAAGCTTTACAATAAGTTTGAGCAACTGAATACAAGTTTTTTGTTGCATATACAAGTGGTGGACAAAATAACGGAAATACCACATGAAAAAGAAGTTTAACTTTGAAGTAACTAAATCAGAATTACATATGAAGCTGCAAAGGTGAGTCATATTAGGTTGATTGCCAATTACCAGTATCTGTCAGCTATAAAAGAGGTCTGACATTGATATGTAGGTTTTCAAAGCAATAATAAGCAACTAACAGAGTTCCAAAGAGGCCAAATAATTGGTGCCCAAATTGCAGGTGCATCGGTCACAAAAACTGCAAAATGATTTAATGTGTCAAGGGGAACAGTATCAAAAATAATGACAACATATGCCAAACATGGACAAACTGCATTAGCAAAGAGGAACAGTGGTCGCAAGTCGAAGCTCACCGACCGGGATAGACGGACACTTCACAGGATAGTTGCTCACTGCCACAAAAGTACGTCCTAAAAAAATTACCACAAAATTGAATCGGCATCTCTGACTCTGTGTTGACAAAAACTGTATGTCTTAAGCTTCACAAAGCTGGAATTTATGGAAGGGCTGCCATTTGGAAACCGCTTGTATCAAAGGCCAAAGCACAAAGATGCACAACCTGGTGTAAGGAGCACAAAACCCTAACCCTAACCTGGAGCCCTAATCAGCTATCAGCAGGGAGGAGAGCAGAGTAATGAAGCCAATTCATAGATGGGGATTATTAGGAGGCCATGATTGGTAAGGGCCAATGGGAAATTTGGCCAGGACACCAGGGTTACACCCCTACTCTTTTTCGAGAAACACCCTGGGATTATTAATGATCACACAGAGAGTCAGGACCTCGGTTTTACGTCTCATCTGAAGGATGGCGCCTGTTTACAGTAAAGTGTCCCCATCACTATACTGGGGCATAAGGACCCACATGGACCGCAGGGTGAGTGCCCCCTGCTGGCCTCACTAACACCTCTTCCAGCAGCAACCTTAGTTTTTCCCAGGAAGTCTCCCATCCAGGTACTGACCAGTCTCACACCTGCTTAGCTTCAGTGGGTTGCCAGTTGTGAGTTGCAGGGTGATATGGCTGCTGGCCATGGTTTACGTTTGGAGAAAGCCAAAGAATGTCTTCAAGCCATAATGGCTGTTGCCAGCTGTTAAACATGGTAGGGGATCCTTAATGGTATTGGCAGCCATCTCGTGGGAGTCATTAGGTCTGATGGTTGCTCTGCATGGTCGTAAAACGGCCAAGGAATATGAGGCCATTTTATAGGACCAGGTGCACCCTATGGTGTAAACACTGTTCCCTCATGATGTTCCCATATTCCAGGATGATAATTCAAAAGTGGTTTCATGGACACCAGGATGATGTCAAATGCCTTTCATGGCCTCGCCAAGTACCAGATCTAAACAGCATTGAACCTTTATGGGATGTTCTGGAGCGCTGAGTGCGAAGTAGATTTTCACCTACTTCATCCCTCAAAGAACTGGAGGCTTTTCTTGAAAATGGTGCAATATCCCACTACACACAGTTTAGGACTTGTATGACACCATTCCAAGAAGGATTGAAGCTATTCTGAAGGCAAAGAGTGGCCCTACTCTTTATTAGGTCCTTGATATCAATTGTTAGGTGTTTCCATTATTTTATCCACCCCCTGTTTATGTTGTTTACTTGAATGCCTGCTAAAGTTGTATGTCCTACCTACTTCTTAGGGCAGATGAGGGAATGGAGCCTGTTTTTAATCTATCTGTGTCTCTGGCCTTCTCCGGCTAATGTTTTCTCACCTAGGAATGCTTACTCCTGTTTAGTCTTACATGAGAATTCGTAATATTAAATGCCTGGTGATGTTTTTTTATTTCATAGTTTTAAGCCTCTGCCTCCTGAAGTGCTTCATGGGCATTGAGAAAATCAGTGTCGTACATCTTCAAAGATTTGTGAGAGCTCCTGTTTGAAGTGTATGCAAGATAGAGGAACACTAACAGACCTCCAACTTAACCAAAGTGGCTTAGGACTGATGCAGACACTGCATTACTCTATGTCCAGGATACATGATTTTTCACATTAATTCCGGTTGTCTGATGCTCCAGAGAAAGTTTATCGCATATCCTGAATTTATTGTTTTATAAACATTGTGTTCTGGAAAAGGATTTCTTTCTTTTCTGAATTAAAATCAAAACTGCCTGTAGTACAAAGGCAAAATACCAAACCATAGTTTAAATGCAAAATAATGTTTAAAGCAAAATAGGTTATTACAAAAGCTTATGAATAAGAGGCTATTCACCCTGCTTAACTCATTTGAATTCCATGATTTGTATTGTAGGCAAGCATAAAAAGTGAGTTAAGCATTAAGTGTTCTATGAAGTGTTTCAAATCCGGTGCCTTGTCGGCATTCAGAATGAGCGAGCGCTAAATGTGCCTAAATCTGTCATGTTTAAGTTTGTACCCTGCAGAGGTTGCGTTAACTTTGTAAACCTTTCATATAACTGTAGGTGCAGGTCATCCAGGCTTTAACAATGAAAATTGTTTGCTTAGGAAATACGACAGACAAGATGAAGTTAGATCTATATTGGTTAGACTACATTAGACTAATGTGGTTAATCCAAAACATCTTTATTTGAAACAATAGAAACAAAATGTAACAGTTTTATTTTTAATTCTCAGTGTGTGATTCTAACAGAAGCCAGGCTACAACTGCAAAAGAGGGTTAATGCTTTTTGTCACTCACAGCAACCACCAATTAAAGTAAGTGTGATTCCTAAGTATTGGGGAAATGTTTATTTAATCTTACATGTACATATATGTAATATTTTGAACACATTTCTTATTGCTGATTGTCACCAGTAGTTTTGCCAACATTTCTTAATTCCTAAATGTCTGACCCAGGGGCATTAAATTTGTTTTTCAAAATCATTAATCAATGTAGTGATCTAATGTAACAGTTCAAAATGAGGAAATGTTTTTCAAAGACCTTATGCTGTGTAATTTAAGATGCAGATTTACACAGTTAGTTGGTCCAACTTTATTGAATCCCTAACTTTTTTAGCTGAAAGATCTTATCACACAATTGGGATATTAATGATGGGTATGCAAAGCAAGCAGTGCAGATTGAAGCACCTTTTTTATTTATTCCTCAGGAAAATAAGATAAAATAAAGAGAAACATTGTTTGCATCACTTTGAAGCTGACAAATTTAGTCTTAAAATACCAGTTAGTAATATACTAATAAGAGTTGTTTATTTTTTTGACAGTTTATCAGCTGTGATGTGTATGGGATCTGTGCACGCATGTTCTGTGACTTTGGAGATGCTTTTGAAGTTTCTGACTCAAATGGAGAGGAGCCCAAGGAAGTCTTTGTGCAGAATATCACACAGGTATGACTGGAATTTTTTTTCATAGGTAGGGGTTTTAGGCAATTAATGTATGCCTTTCCATCAGAGAACCACTCTGATGGCAGTGAAATGACTCATGCTCATTTTGTTGCATAGAAGAGAATACAATCTTTTTGTGAATTTCACCACCTTAATGCATTATGTAAAGATAAAGCCTTATCTGCTACATTATAATATATACATATTGTTTATGTATATAAGTTTTGTATACTGTTTAGACTTTTAATAATTTTAAACTGTGTGTATTACAGCATGTTAAACATTAAAAAGTCGGTATATTTTATAAAAGCAAGATTGCCCAGTTGAACAAAAGTACACAACCTTCCACCTTCTTCATAAATATTTTAATAATACATAAATATTTTACACATCAAAGTCTTTAACTTGGTAACTTGTTCTAATATTATTAAGCTTATATTCTGTACTTCATGAAAAGTTATAATGTTTTATTCCTTTCTGAGTATGTAATAAGAACACCACTTGATGTTATTGTAAAAAGATAAATGTTGTTATTTAATATCACTTGATAGTTACATGATCATGTTACTAAGCAGCTAAAGTATCGTAAGTGGACATTTTGGAAACATTTTGACATTCGTTTCTTTTTAAAAAAAATTATATTATCCTTGTAGTGGTAATGAACACTGTAATGTAGCAAGCTGCACCCAGGCGGTTCAAAGAGCATTACTTTCGGTTTGTTTCTCATATAGCCAAATGCATAAAAATAGTCCACTATTATGTCTTACTGTGAACGTGATCTGCCTCTTTCAGATTTACATCTGAATTGAGAAAATCTATATTTTGTCTTAATCCATATTTCAGCAGCCAGTAATCAGCCAACAATTGAACTTGGAATTTAAAAAAGTTTAAACTATACTATACAGTACACTGCCTGGAGTTGAACTCGGTCCATCAGCATCATTCACGTGATGTTTTTTTAGTTTAAGGATTTCTTTATGGAAATCTTTAAATTAAATGATGGAGGGGGAAAGGATTATTTTTTGTTAATTTTTTAAAATCAAAATTAATAAAGAAAACATAGGGTAAATATAATTTAATTTTTTTTGCTAACAGTCAACGATTAACAATCTTAACTGTTTAGAAAAATGATAAAAATTAAATATTAACTAAGGAATCGGATGGCACAGTGGTTAGCATGCCTTTTGTATGTTTTTCATAATTACAACAGTAGCACCAGATGCCTAAGAGGCTTTCAAAATTTAATTATGCATGGAAATCTTTGGACTAGAATAATGACTAAGATATCAATCCATTTTTTATGGTGGTGCAGTGATAAGCTTTGCTATCTTACCATGCTGAGGCCCTAGGTTCAATTCCTGAGATATTTTATGTGTGAAGTTTGCATGTTCTCTCCGGGTTCATGTGGGTTTTCTTCAGGTAATCTAACTTGTAGTCCAAAGCGTATTGGTAGGTTAATTGGCTTATTGGAATACTGACCCTGGTTTAAGTGTGTGTTTGTGTCTGTTCTGTGATGGGCTAACACTACGTCCAGGGTGTATTCTGCTTTGCATCCATTTCTAGCTGGTATAGACTCCAGCTATTCTGTAAAGAATAAAGAGATTAGAAAATGGATGGAACTAAAGGCACTGTGTAACTACTGTATACACAGCGATAGAAACCCACTATGAGATGGCATGATCTCACTTAGGATCAATTATTTTATAGTGCTGGTTTAAGGAGTCAGGCTTTCCACTTCTCTGGATCTGATCAATCTAACTACCTATATCTGTGTTTTTCCTATCCTGCTTGATTTATAATTATTCTGAAAACCTCCTTCTTGAAATGTGTCATTTATAAATACCTGTTTTCACTGTTAACATCTTTCACACATCTCTGTGACAAAATATACACTTATATCAACCTGACAGCTGCTGAGTCCTTTGTTCATCCTGCTCTTAGCACTGAATAAAAATTGAACAAAACATTTCTATATTTATATCTTTATTTAGTAGTTCCATTAGTGACAAAGGCTAAATTACTTTCTTGGAAAAATGTATTTTATGTGTTGCAAAAAAAAATGACTTGCTTTAACGAAATATATTTACAAATGCTTTCCCCTGGCAATCTACCTGGATGGCCAACTGTTTGAGAAGCCTTCCATGAAACCATATTTGCTATTAAATCATATAAGGGCTCTCTTACTGAATTGCTCTGTTTTTCATGTGTGCAAATTTTCAGACTCTGTATCCCATCAAACCTTCATGATAAGATATCAAACCCTACCAGAAATGCACCTGGTTATTCTAGCCCTTAACCCTCTGCTACATCTGCTTCAGGTTCACACGTTCCTTTGTAACAGCTTTCTGTGATGTTTTGTATATCTAAGGTTTTGAAAGTGTTCCTGCATCCCTCTTCTTCACTGTCTGGTCATGGCTTTTTTCTGTTTGGTTATTTCAAGATAACACCTGCTCCAATTCTAAAATTTTTTGCTCATGTGCCTTTTTGTATTTTCACATTTATTTACATCTCTAACACTTTAACATCCCAAATTTTCATTTGCCTTATTTTTTTTTAAACTGACTTTTAGTTTCAGCCTTATAAAAGCTTAAGTTTTTCTCTTTTGTTTCTTGTATTACAGAGCTCTTTAATTGTGAAGTTCCCAGCATGCTCTATTTAATGGTCAGGTTATATGTATTGGACGTAATGTACACCCTGGACATATAGCAGTTCTATTTATATTGAGTTTATTTTCATTTTATTCAATTTTTATTGCGCTATTGTTATGCAGGTTTATTTTGTAACTTTGTAACCCCAAAGCTTGTAGAAAAGACATTGCATTGTCAGCAATTACTGCTGCATGCCGTCTTGTTGTGCATTTGATGTATAAAGTTTGATTTGATTTTTAAGCTGTTATTACTGATCACCAAATTATTGCACTACACATTGCTTAATTCACCCACCTTTCCTGAATGTCTATGACAAGCAGAACTACTACTGTCTCTGGTGTGATCTTTTTGAAACTGAAATTTCACTGTTAAACAAATAAGAAATTAGATTCTTCATAAATCTGATCACTTATTTTATGTAAACACAAAGTAATTGCTCTATGAAAATGCTCTTTTTCTTGTTTGTTTTGGGTGAAAACAGCTATTTAATTCAAAGAAGGAAATCCATGAAGTGAAACACATCAGCAATGCTTAAAGTAGAGAAAATAAACTGGAAACTCCAGCTGAATCACCAAACAAATCACTGTTTGGTGATGCAGCTGGAGTTTCCAGTTTATTGTGCCTTTCACTGAAAGACTAGTCGGAAAACAGCAAAACCGAGCACAAAGCAAGAAAACAAAGCAAGGCACTTTACAGATGCAGCCATTCAAAACAAGCGGGTGATACAGCATTATTTTGCGGTGCGCTTTACGCAGTCTACTGCGAGTTATCGTAAATTCTCCTATAATACTGCAAGTAAAATAATAGTATCCGGAATTTCCGCAAGGTGGAGGTAATAAAGCTCAAACTCTCATGTTTGAGCCGTCGCCATCAAAGTCTTTAACGAAGATATTACTAATAGTATTAAAAATGAATGACCTTGGCAAGCTGTAAACTCAAAGTATTGCCCTGGTCCACATTCTTTTTTTTCATTGACCGTCTTTGTAAAAGTAACACCACAGCATTTCGCAATCACGCATTTGTTTCAAATAAAGTACAGTAATTTTTGAGAATCTCTGATTCACCATGCCTTTCAC